GTTTTATTCGTGGTAGTCGGCATAGCGCGGTGAGTTCCAGTGCCACTATTTTACGAGAATGAGTAAGGCACATAGATAGTAGAGCCAGTGCGAACCTCTGCGAAGCAGAGGTGACGCACTGGTCTAATATATCGGTACTTCTTATTTCCCACTTGACGTCTAGAAAGGCTTCAAAGACTGTTTTTGTCATATCCATCTGTTTATTCCCAAAGAACCTCTACAACAAAGTATGCAACTTGTAGTGATCGGCCACTTCGACTTCGTGACCCTCCCTTGTTAGAACAAATTTTCACAGATTCTATTCAGAAAAAAATTGACATGTTTGGTCCATTTTGACATTTTTTTTTCAAATTTCCAGTGAGGTAGAAGAGTATTTTTAACCAGGTTGAGCGTAGGGTCAGGCGCGCCCGACCTGGGGGATCGTATTGAGGGTAAGACTGGGGGGGGGGGGTCGTAATTAAGAATCGTATTTGTTAAGTTGAGGAGATACTGCGAAGGTGAAGTAGAAATGCGTTTGCCCGGTGGATATCGCGATCACATGAAGGTGACGGTCATAAACAGCATATTGACTCCACAATGGAAGTGTTTCAGCCAAATTCAAATCTTCATCTCTTTTACCTTAACATATGGGGTCGACAAGGAAGCCTTGCTGTGTGAAATGGGTATCATTACATAATCAGCATGTCAAATTACCTCTATGCGCTCTATAAACCATCACCTACTGCAGTTTTTAGTGTTTCGCAACGTCTAAAAAACGTGGTTTTCCAACGTGATCAACTTGGTTTCAGAAGTGAGAAAAGTCAGCTTTTGTATACTCACAACAAAGTAATGTTCTCTACAAGTGTACGCTACAAATCGGGCTTCATATCGCTTTCAAACAGTGAAGTAAGAAGTGCTGCCAAAAATTCAACCGGCGCGTTCTTCACGTTGAGTGCTTCAACTCCTCGGATTAGCACAAGGCCGAAACAAGTCGAACCAAGCTCAAACACTTAGTGTGGAATCTTCGAGGGTTGAGCTAGCGAATCACATAAACTTGGGTAAAAAAGCTTTTTTTGGAAATGAAGTTAATGGGGTCAGGCGCAACTTCTCAAAAGGTCAGGCCGCTTGAGCTTTTGAAGGGTTGCGCCTGACCCTCTTAACTTGCCTTCAAAATTCAAAAATCACCCGTTTTTTGATATGGGTATTGAGCACAAAGCCTCTTCTTGCTATATTGAAAATTTGAAGCCAAGCACTCCACCCCTGTGAAAATTATAGCTCTGAAAAGAGGAGTATCCAGATCTAAAACTTGCCGTCAAGTTGCTTGTGGTTGTGCAATCGCAGAAAGTCGGGCCTACCGGCTTTCAAAAAATAGAAACCGGCAGTGGAGGCTGGTCTTCTTCGAAGTATAATACCCTGAGGACTTGGAGGTGAAGGGAGGGTCGTTCAGGGGCTTTCACAGGGGGGAGGGTCTTTTTTGAAGGACTAGTGCCTGACCTCTTGCTCAACCCTCTGTTTCTAACCACCATAGCTTCTTATATTGAAAAATCTTGATTGCTTTCAGCAATGATTCAAATTGTCTTTTTCTTCAAAATCTTCCCAAAGCGAATTTAGCCAGGAAGGGCTATACATGATGGCTTAAAGTACCTCGCTGCTGCTTGTTACGTCACTTAAATGTGAAACCCTAGCGCACTTCTGATTCTGGGAAACTCTAATCCGTCAATTGACCACAGATGACGTTATTATTATAACAATGTTTATTTTTGATAGTTCAATCGGAAATGGGGACATTGACTAAAAACAGATCGAACTTACATTGCTACCTAGGGCAGAACAAGTTCTTGATAAAACCTGTGAAATATGTAGATGACATGTCAAATTTTTGACACGTGGCACACTCTTTTCTGTGGAGCTGGGACAAATTATGATATAAGGATAGAAGCAATGTCCTGCTTTGAAAAAGTGGGTATGGAGAACGAAAAACTACTTATAACTGCAGCAATTGCCAAATTTTGAAGTCGAATTAAGGGGGTCAGACACAAAAGCTCAGGCAGGCTGATTTTTTGAGGGGTTGTTCCTGACCTCATCAACTCTATCTTCGAACAAGCTTTTTGCTCAAGTTTGATGTGATTAGCTAACACAAATCTCGAAGATTCTATAGTAGGTGTCTGAGCCTACTTCGACTTGTTTCGGCTTTGTGGTGATCCTTGGTGTTAGAGCACTAGGTGGAAAACACGGTAGTCGTAGTTCTGGCAGAACTTCTTAATCCACTATTTGGAAGCGATATGAAGTCTGATTTCTATCCTAGAGTGTTAGACAGTATTGCATTATTATCCCAGTAACCTTATTTCATATGTAAGGTAGGAGATGGACGTGAGATTTTGCTGAGACTATCGTGGATCAGCATGCTGTTCACGACAGCCATTTTCAGTTCCGTGCTTCAATTCTATCGTGGTATTTTCTCAATTCTCCGAACGACGGTTCTTAACTACGACCTCCACCCCCCCCCCCCCCTCTCGTCTTACCCCATTACGACCTCCCAGGTCGAGCAAGCCTGACCTCACGCTATCCCTGGTTCCCATCTCGGCTAGGTACCTAACGCCAGGCACCCGGCTTATATTTTACTTTGTGTAGACCGACTAAGTTGAAATCTCGCTGTTCTCGACTTGCAGATAGCCTTCGAGCGTAATCGTCGGATCCTTCTTTCAATTCACTAATTTTTCGGTACTTTGCAATTGAAGGCAGTGTCCGGGCAAGAAATCGATTTTGAGAATTTGTGCTTACCCGGGCCTATTCGCCATGCTGACTTCGAAAATCCACATCGGAAAGCGCGGAAACGGCGAAAAAGGGCTCTAACGCAGGAGGGAAGTCAGAAGTGGGCGGAGTCTTCCCCACTGTGAATTTCGCGGTCCCGGTCTGAAGCGACTTTCTCAATTCCGCTAGCGCCCTGAGATCTCCACAGGCCAGGTGCAAATGCATGACTTGAAATCGGGACCGAGAAGATCGCTCCGGGAGCTTGAAGCGTGAATCCGCAGTGGGGAAGACCCCGCCCACTTCTGATTTTCTGCGTTAGAGTTCTTTTTCGCCGTTTTCGCGCTTTCTAATGTGGATTTTCGGATTCAGCATAGTGAATAGGACCGAGTAAGCACAAAATCTCAGAATCGACTTTTTGCCCGGACACTGCCTTTAACACGTTGACGACCGCGCCATTTTGGACGAAACCCACACTAACGTCCTTCGCGCATTTGACCCGTGCATACGCGCATATGCACGAAAACATTATGTGGGAGTCTTTTTGACGCTTATTCATTAAACATGCAAACTTTGTTCAGAGAAACATTTATATCACTCTCACTACGACTTACACAAATCAAGGTTTTTGCCTCGATTTCTCCTCCAATAAACCATGCAATGGCTATATCTGAGCAATCCTTTTTCGAGAAAAGCTTTGTGATAACAGGTTTTTTGCCTGATTCATCCTTGTTTGCTTTCAAAACAGCTACACGGAATTTCACCTTCTCGGAAAAACGTACTTGATATGTATTTCCCACATCAAAAACGGACATACTACCCAATTTTGCAGCCAAAACTTCTGAACAGCTGCCGCGATGCCCTGTGTTCTGTAAGACAATAAGGGCACCAATAGTATTACTGCATAAAATTTACCTCAAAACTTTTCGTTTACACAAAAAAACTGGCGTGCATATGCGCGGATGCACGAAAATGCTAAACGGGAGTCAGGGAGTGCATATGTGCGTATGCACAAGGTCGTCAACGTGTTAAAATGAATTCTACTCTCAGCTATGCAGGGTGTCTCAAACGAGTATTAAACGTTCGACCGTTGATAATCAGTTATCTGAACAGCTTTTGCGGATCTTTGAGCACCACGTGAAGCTGTTTAAACTGACCGCCCCAATAATTCTAGTCTTTGGAATATTGTATGAGGGCTTTTAACCCTCATGTGATAGAGGAATACCTATACCTAAAAGAGAGTTTCTAGAATTTATTGAGAAACAAAGTTTTTAGCCTTAGACTAATGTTTTAGGCAAAATTTGCTCTGACTGGGGGAAACTCGCCAAAAGTTTATGGCGTAATCCAGTGGCGGTCCCAGAAATTTATAAAGGATGCGACTGGCACACTTTTCAGAATGATTTTTAGGAAGCTGTATTTAGCGGACCTATTACCCCGAAAATTATCTGAATAGGGTGCAAATTGCAGCCAAAAACTCCAAATTGGCTGCTTGTGGCCTCTTAAGTCTTCTCGAAATTGTACTTCAGTCAAAATTTAGGAAAGTTTCTGAATGTGAGAAATTTTCGGAGAGTGATATCGCTCTCCTTCAAAATTTCCTATACCACTGCTGATAACTACACAAATCTAACAAGGTGGTTGTAGGGTTGCTTGCTGCTTACCATATTCGCAAAGTTTTGCCCTTAGTATCAAGTCCTCGAAAAACCAAAAATTTTCTCCGAACAAAATTTCTTAAGCTTCAGCTTGGTAAATGCTTCGAAGCTCGTCTCACCTTCTGGAATACCATTGCATAAGCAATCTGAAACAAAAAAGTGCGGAAATGAAATTTTTGAAGCGCGAGAGATGCCATTTGTCGCAAATTTCGACTGACTAGGGAAAGCTGCGTTCATACTGATCCGGAAGTTCGGGAACAGCCCAGCACAGCGCTCGAACTGAGCATCCTGCTGGAACTGTTCTCGAAATTTCAAATCAGTATAACGCAGCTTAGAATAATATAGGCAAAAGTCTGTTTCACAAACCGATTATTTGCCAGTCATCAATTTTTCCAACAAAGAATTCGGTTTGCATGAACATAATTAATCAAAATGAAGGCGATAAATTATAAAATTGATTTAACGCCAAGTAAAAATTTTACACTTCTTCAAGTAGGTTTTCACTTTTGGCAGCACTATACTAAAGATGTTTTCACCCAACGTTGACATACTGATTGAGAGATAAGCGTAAAATAAATAGCGAGAGAACAACAAAACAACAACCAAGTACGCACACTTGCCCTCATGCTTGTACTACTACTAGCTGTATGTGAGTTTCCAGCTTATTTACCGTGCTGGTTTGTATATATTAAGTTGAACCGAAAATTTTACCGCTTCAAACTCAAAGAGTTCGTAGAAAACTACTCTAGCTCTCGATAATTCAAGATAAATTATCAAAAATCAGAGACGCTGCAAAAAAACTTGAAAACATGTTTCTTACAATCCAAGTAGACGCCACTTTCTGACTGTGTAAAGCCGCTGTTGATGGAGCTCTATTGAAAGTTACGATTTCCGAGAAAAACGTAGAGAAATGCAAGAAAATTTTTTCCGGCTTTTGCATTTTCCTCGACAATCATAACTTTTTAGAGCTCAATCAGCGCAAACTCTGCACTGCTAGAAAGACCAGCTTACGATAACTGTAGGGAATCGGTTTTCAGTTTCCGTCCGTAGCGATTTAGATTTTTGCCGATTTATCCGAGAATGTTGGGGGCTAGCATGATTTCCCTATTCGAATTCATAACTCTGGAGTCATCCATCGTCAAAGAACCTGCGAAAACGTCATTAGAGAAAAAATGATTATATCTTTCAGGCATTATTGTAAGCAAATTCATTCACATAGGCGGCAGTTACGAATTTTCCAGCTTTAAAGCGACAGAATTTTAGAAGTTTTAGAAGAAAGTTGCGCAAACCTTCAGAATTGTTGTGATGTTTGCAGCATTTTCTTCACTAAATGCGAACCGGATTTGAAAAAATTCATGTGCTTGGGACCAAAATTTGTCTGATTCTTTCAATGTCATAATCGTTTTTGAGGAACATGTGTATTCATAATATTTCGAAGTTTAACAACTACAGTCAAGTCATTTGTTACCTAATATGTGATTGCACAATATGCGCGGTAGTTCACAATTTATATGTTAACAGTTTGTCAGGTTTCATGATTTTCTTCGGTTTTTGTCCCTGTGAGGTAAATAAGAGACCAACCTAGTGCAGTTGTTCGTTTTCAACAAACTGCTCAAAAAAACGGGTTTTACTCACAGTTTCCCGATAAGCAGTTGGTAGATGCCGCGCGCAATGTGCAATCCCAGAAATTTGGGATATTAGGTTCTCGATGACTACTATATCTGTTTTTGAGTCATGGTCATAAATAGATCTAGTCTATTCAGATTTATTTTTCAGTTGCCGCCTTCGGCTCCGCGCGTACAGATTGTCTGTGCGGTAAGCCTCCTATTCCTCCAAGAGAAAACGAAAATATTGTTGGAGGCAGCACTGCACGACCGTATTCTTGGCCGTGGCAAATAGAGCTATGCACAAAAAGTATGTTTTCTCAAACATTTAGTTGTAAAACATAAGTATAATCAGTTTTCTCCAGGCATATTAGACAAAAAATGCAATTTACGCTGCGGTGGCTCACTCATCGACAGCCAATGGGTAATGAGTGCTGGGCATTGTGTGTGAGTTCTTTTTCTGTTTCAAATTTAAGTTTTCTAGATATTAAGTAAACTGAGGCAAACGCCATACTCAATCTTATATGGTTCGATTAGGTTTGGCAGAAGCGGCACACTAAATGATGGACCACTTGACATTTGTTCACACGTAGACAGAATTTGAGAATATGTGGTAAAACTTATATAATAACAGCATATCAACAACAATCATGAGTAACGTCTAACTAACGAATAACAGATGCTAGGCTTTGTGATTTAAGGAATAAATGAAAAAAAACATTGTCAATTGTCGCTGATCTCAATCTCGCGTTTACGAGACACTAAATAATAAATGCCTAAATAATAATAATTAGTGCGTCGAATTATTTAGCATTTTAATGTGCCCAATTGCACCATTTTTTAGGAAAACCTATGAAGACACCCCTAAATTTTTTGGGATCAAGCTTGGGACATATGACTATCGTGACGACAACGAGACTGGTGAGATTCTCCGAGATGTCATCGAAATCCACGTTCATCCGAATTTCGGACAACCACACCCATTCTCACACGACATTTGCCTGTTGAAGGTGAGTCTCGGCTTGACAAAGGAATGGTCAGAAGCCGAAGTGGCCAATCCAAACAAGTTGCACACCAGTAAATGCAGCATAAAACGCTGACTCTAAAACTGTGTTCTTTATCTGCTAAACAATTTTGTGGACGAAGCTATAAGCCGTTAAAGGCCACTATTTCGATAAAAAAATTGTGCGTGCAAAGTGCAAATTCGGCGTACAAAGCCATGTTAGTCTTAAAGGTGAGCCAAAACATGCAGCTTAGTTACTTCATATAGCCCATACCTAAATGTGAGTTAAAAGGGCAATGATGTGCTCAGTTTCGCAAATTTTTACGTACGATTTTCTCGGAATAAAACTAACTTCGCCAAATCTCGCCCACAGAGGGGTTTAGCAGATAATAACTTTGCCATAATTTCGATAATATATGAAAAATGAAGATTTGAAGGCGGAATTGAAGTCAGCGTTCTTTGCTGCATCTAATGGTATGCAGCTAGTTTGGATTGACCACTTCGTCTTCTCATCCTTGTATGGAATTGACCATCTCCATTATGGTGCAAAAAAAATAAATTCGATTAACTAAACTGAAGCAGCTGAGTTGCTATTACTCAGACAAATCACCGGAACTTCCGCAGGACAAGCCGAATTTGCAGACGTTCCGCAGGGTTTTGTTCACTATTGCAAAAATGAAAACGTTAAAAATCGGAACTTCCGCGGGAATTTCATGCCAAACTGGTCGAAAACCGGAACTTCCGCAGAACCTCCTTCAAAATCCTGCGGAAATTCCGAAAAATGCCAGAGTTTCTGCAGCACTTTGGCCTGCCGGAACTTCCGGACTTTTATGTGTTGTCTACTATGATGTTGCCTTGCCAACAACTAGAGTGCATTATCGAACATGTCAGCCGTAGCGTAGAGGATAGTAGGTGGGTCTCACAGTCAATAGAGTGAGGTTCAAATCTCGCTTCGGTCTTCCCTTGTGCTGTTGGGGTGGGATTCTCCGGAACTTTCGCAGGACCTCATTTCGGAACTACCGCAGCACGTTTACGGGACTTCCGCAGGTGACCCGGCGGAACTTTCGCAAGCGCTCTGCGGAAGTTCCGGTCATTTTTCTGAGTAAATATTAGGTTGGTGCAAAAGTAATGCGCGTTTTGCGAGTTCTCACTTTGACGTGCTATAACTTTCTAAAAAATCCATATTTTTCAGCGCGGCAAAATGCATTGGAGGCACCAAACCTCTCTCTATACAGCGCACATCAATTTGTGCTAACATCGCAGAACGGTGAAAAAATATGGATTGATAAGCAAAAAAATTTTTTTTCGGAAACCTCGTCTTTAACTGATCATAACTTCATTCAAGATTTGTTGATATAAATGAAAAGTTGACTATCTTGTAGCCGCAAGCCAGTAGTACAAACAAAAGTTGAAAGGGGCTCAAACAAAGAAGATTTGAGAAAAGGAAAAATAATGTTCAAAATTGTCCGTTTTTTTCGACATTTTTTCGTAGCCCTCAAAATCCCAAAATATGGAGTTTTTATCATTTTCTGTGCACTGAACAGCTTCCACGTTTCTGCAAAAACTGTCAACAGGAGGTCCACCCTTACGCTTACGGGAATGAGCAAAACTTTGGCGATTACCTTCTTCAAAGGAAATCTATGGGCCACAGAATGTTCAAAACCATCACTCATATTGGGGCACCGAAATCTCAGTCTAAACAATTTCTGAGAAAACAGCAAGGCATGCATAACGTAGAAAATTTCTACTACATACAGCAGTTAAATTTTCAAAAGAATGCGATTTTTCGCGCACAAATTCTGGCCAAAAAAGTAAGTGCAATGAAATTCTGGTTTTGAGTACGGTTGTATGAAGCTCTATAAATTTTTAACGGTTGAGGCTAGAAGCTTCTTTCAACCACCATTGTATAGAGCATGAAAGAAGCTTCTTCATGGTATGCTGTATAAGTTTCATAGGAGAAACTTCGATGGAGAAAAGCTTCTTAAAATAAGGGCTAGAAAAACGCGCATTACTTTTGCACCAACCTAATAAAATGTCTAAATCATTATCGTTCAATCTTTACTATATTTTCAATTAAATTTTTTTGTAGTGGCGCCCTCTTTTGTAGTAACGATAGATAGACTTAATTTTATCTACAACTCTGCATTAATAACACGAAACTTCATCTATAGTCTGAATTGACTATAATTAGCATCAATATTGACATGATTATTCAGCTTTCACAGCCGGTGAATTTCACAAAGCACATACAACCCATCTGTATCCCGAGGTCTCTCAAAGATATCTCGCCTAAGACCAAAGGCTTTGTCACTGGATGGGGAACAACAACAGGTAATACATAATATTGTGGCTACGTTTGGAGTTGCTCACGCGCTAGCTCAGCTCCGGCGCTGTGCCAACAATGTGCTAGCAACGTGCCAGCGCCACGCCGAAACCTAGGAGGACGCATTGCTTATCCACCAGTCGTGCTCCACCGACAGGAGGCACGGCGCTGGCACTAGACTGGAACGGCGCTGGCACGGGCAACTCTGAAATCATTCTTGAAGTCAGGGTTCAATTGCAGAAGGAGGTAAGGTATCCAACAAGCTACGCCAGGTCGAGGTTCCATTTCTCAGCGAAAAGGAATGCGAGAAGGAGTACGAGGGAGAAATCGATGAGACAATGACTTGTGCTGGCAAAAAAGGCGTCGATAGTTGTCAGGTAAGTTTTAAACATGAAATTATGAAGACAAACTTTTCAAGAAATCAAGTTTAGGGAGACTCTGGTGGTCCACTTGTTACAAAACACAAGGACACAAATAGATGGTACCAGGCTGGTATAGTCAGTTGGGGACAAGGCTGTGCAGAAAAGGGACATGCAGGTAAAACAGTGACAGTGGTGTAACTTCCTTTGCAATTAGAGTAGCCCTCGTTTTCCAGGTGTCTATGCGCGACCATCAGCCAATTGTGAATTCATCGAGAAATTCACAGGAAAGAAAATATGTACAGATTGATTCCTCTTTCTCTCACAAGAGCTGGTATAAATATCAAAGAAGGGCTAATAAAGTTGTTGTACCCGTTCTAGAAAACAGACACCATAAGCATGGGATTTCACATTCATTGGCCATGATAGCCTCGTGAAAAGTTAGTTCAGGCAAAAACTCTTGTACAGACTATCTACAGAGTGTCCCAAAAGTATGTAAACACTGTTTTATTGTTAATATCTCTCTTGTTAAAAAGTCTTCTGCCTACCTTTAGGTACCATTCTGTGGAGATAGTTTCAACTTAGATTTACAGTGTAGAGCGAATCACCGATAGCTCTTCCTTACTGTAATATTACGGTAGAAACTGGCAACTGGTTCCACTGCGGGATGGGCCATTTGTAAAAAAAAATTTTCTAAAAATTCTGGAAAATTGTGTAACAAGGTTTTCACGCACGCTGATATTAATACACGACAATTAACGAGTTTTCGGAGCTTTTCAAATGGTGTATCCAACAGTAAGTTTCTTATGGATGATCGAAAAACTGTTTCAACGATATAGAACCTATAAAGATAGCTCAAGTGAAGTGCGAGTTTGACATTTGAAATTAGCGGTGCTTGTTAACACAGTATAACAACTTTCAGCCTCTCTGGACCTTTTATAGGGGTTTATTATGGCTCTTAATGACTCAAAACCCTCCTCAAAATTCCTTCCATAATCTACAGTAGTGAGCGGCGATCGGTAACTCGCTCCGTACTGCAAATCTAAGTTGAAGCTAGCCCTACAAAAGGTAAATGAAGGTAGACAAAAGACTTCTTAGAAGCAGAGACATTAACGATCAAACAGTGTATAACTTTCGGGACACCCTGTATATTGCATTGTCCTTTTTGCACGTTAGCATCCGCAGCGCAAGGCCGCGAGGCGGACGTCCAGGTCGTACGCGGGAGACAGCGAAATGCAAACGGAATGCTATCTCCTCATTATCAGGAGTGAACCATTCAAACTTTTATAACAAAGAAAGAGTAGGTTTTAAAAGGGCATTTTCTCTCCTTAGCTAGGCTAGAAAAATCGTCGACGAGCAAATACTTACGCCCTTTCACTACTTTTTTCTTGTTTCGATCGTTTTCTTCATTCAATCGCTCGATTTTGATCATCTCTCGTGAAAAAAGTAGTGCTTCAATCAAATATCAACGATGTACGTGAAGTAAATACCAATGGATGCGCTCTGCTGGTTATGCCGAGGCCAGTAACCGGTCGAACATCAACTATGATGCCATTCCCATTGCATTATCTCTCGATCTCATTGTATTTGTATTTGACGCATCGATACACTTTTGTATTAATGTCCAATCATATTGTAGTTATTTTTATACGCTTTTATCGACAGATTTCTTCTAGAACTACTTTTCTCAACACAAAATTTTTTCTAGGAGTTCAGGAAGTTAGACCTTCACAAGACATCAAATCGTCTGCAATTTTGATTGTTTTGCAGAAATTCACAATCTAAGTTTAAAAACTCCATATACAGTTTCCTATATGAATGGTAAATGTACTTGTAATTCGGCACGAAAGCTGGTGGCTTCAAAGCTATTTGATTCAAATGTTTGAAGCTGGATAATTAGGATTACAAAATTATATTCGTTTGGAAAGAATTTGGAAAAGTCACTTCATAGCAAACTTAAGATTACCAAAAATTTCTTATTCTCATGGTTACAAGCCTGTCTAAAATTTGAAATTCACCTCAAATATTCTTGAAGGGTGTTATGCTTCATACGTTAGGCCTCGGGCAGAGTTCACGCAATTTGATCGTCGCGATTTTCAATCGCTACAAGACAGCTGTTACAAGTTCATTGCATGCCGACCAGCTTGCCTTTCGGTTGTGATACTTTTCCAGCCTGAAATTTTTGAATGTAAAATGAAAATGAATGGAAAACGTGGCGATTGAATCGCGACGATCAAATTGCGTGCACTCTGTCCGAGGCCTTACGCTTCAATTCAAATTCGTCGCGAATGTTTTCTAGAATAATTTCTGGCATTGCCACTGACAAGTGTATTGTAAAAGATCTCAAAAGTAAAATGTGTAGTTGCACAATGAAGTACAACGGAAAGTTAGATTCTCACATGAGCTAATTCAGAAATGGAAAAGTGTGACATCAATACTCATCTTTTTTAAACACGTCAATTGCCAAACAAGTGTAGAGAATGGAAATCGTCACTGCAAGGAAAAAAGAAAATTTTCAAGATTACTCAAAGCTAAAACCGTAATGCTCGTCTAATACTCTCAACTTGCTGACCATAAAAAAGTTAAGTTCAGTGATAAATTTATAAATTAAAAGTTAGGATTCTTTCACAATTTTCTTACCTTCTATGACATACCTTTCTTCATCGCTCATTTACGAATGGAAAACAAAGATGAAAAAATGATTGGATTGCATAATGTGGTAGAGCTCTTCAAGAGCTACAACACCCACATTGCGTCTTCAAAACATGTATTCTAAAAATTTCAAAAGTCCTTTTCTAAAAAAAAGTCTGAAAATGGCTGCGTCACAATGCCGCGGACAATAATTCTTCACACGAAAATTTTCTTTTAAGTCTTTTCCTGGAGCAAAAACAGAAGTTTTCCGGACAGGTAAGCATACTATGTTGTAGAGCTCATCGAGGTCAATAATTGGATAGTGATTACTTCCAAAAAAATCCAAGCTTGAATTTTATTCTGCTTTTTATCCACAAATTAACTTCTAATTCTGTTTTTCTTCACATGGAAACCTATTCAAGACATCCCAACAAAGCTAATTGGATAAAATTGATGCTCTTTGAAATCCATGCATCGGACGTGTGCTGGGAGCATACATTCGATAGTCTAGAGACAGAGCGTCAAAAGTGAAGGTTGTTTAAAGAAGATCAGGGAAGGTAAAATGACGTAAAACAGATATAAAGAGCAAAAGAAACTGCTAAAACCAGATAAAAACGCTGCAGTGAGGTTTGAAAACTCTCATTAGGCGGCTTTTTAAAGTGCAAGTCGCTCCATGACCAGCAATTCGCAACACGGGGGAAAGCAAAGAAAAGCTAATTTCTTTTTTTGCGATTATTTCAAAAAAACATGTTTCGGAAGGAGTGGTCATCAAGAAGAAGATAAACAAGAAAGAATTTAGTTATGGAAACGCAAAGATTCTTTTTTGCTAAGTCGAAGAGAACGTCGAAGCCAAATTTAATTTTTGATGCGTCATTTGAATTTCTACCCCCGCATTGACGTTCCTGTTTCCTGGGACGTTGTCTGGATTGTTGCGCTTATTGTTCTGACCAACAACCGCCCAAGCTGGAGAAAAATCGTTGCGAAAGCACCGAAACAGAAAAGTTCAAGTAGAACGCACTTTTACGATTTTTCGCAAAAAATTTCACCATAATCGAAGATATAAGGGCTGGGTGGTTGTTTGCGTTATGAACAAAGGCGAAATCTATAGCATCCACGAAAAAACCGCGTGAAAAGAGTTAAACTAGGAGAAAAACAAGAGATTTTCTATCAAAAAATGTGGTATTGGGACGTTGTCAGCGTTAAAAAAGACATCAAGAGCTTCAGAATGATATATAGCTTACTAAAATTGGGTTCGAAACAGCGAAGAAAAAGGTACCAAAGCCAAATGCCCCGCGTCCCGCGTTTGGGGTAGCGAGGCAGTACGCAGCGCGCGAAGACGCAGGGAGCAGCGGAGACAGACCAGAGCCGACGGGGCATTTGGCTCTGGTCGTAATCTCCGCGGGGTCTCAATGAAACCTCAACATTATATGTCATTCTGATCATCATGACACGACGATGAGAAGTGACAACGTCCTAGGCTTTAGAAATAATGCATTATCGAGATAGACCAGCGTTTTCGTGCGCGACTCTCTGCACAAGATTTAAGCGCAGTTTCTATTTATTCAACTCCAACAGCTTTCCTAAACTTCTGAAACTCGATTTTGGTCAAACTAGAAAATAATTGAGAAAGATTGCCCTGAATTCCGGCGAAAATTCCGCAAAAACCTTTTTAACGTAAAAAAGGATATGAAAACGCAAATTCTCGGTTTCGCCGAGATAACCTAAAGATAATATTTTCTATATTTGCTTCATTATCATTTTCCGATATAGTCAGGATAATAACATCCGGGGAGAAGCCCCAAAACTTCTGTTTTTTTTCAAGTGAAGGTTGTGTCCCCTCATAGCTCTCAAAGTGAAGGTTACCAGAGTACTGATTCTATGTATCGAGGGTATGGCTGGGAGTTTCTTTGCTGAAAATGGCTCTTGAGAGTGCGTGCACATGACCCCATCTGCACCTCACCACTGACCTGCACCGCTTTGTAGGCTTGTAGCTCGGCCAGCAGTCACTCTACGAGCCTACCTAGGCTCGTTCGAAAGAGCGTGGCTTACTTCCTTGACACTGTGGTGCGCAAATTATTTGGGTTTGAGAAATCCCGGAATGACGGATGGAGTGAAAAAGCGCAGCTTCAGTTGTAGGCTAAAAATTTTTCAGTTGAAGTTGAGCGAAGGTTAATTCGCCACCAGTTCCACCCTGAAAGTTTCAAACTGTTAATTTTCTTGTAATAGATCCATTTCGGAGCTCTAAGACTATTTTGATGTTGATAAGAGCCTTCATTCCACTCGCCCCTAAGCTGCGCTTTTTCACCCCATTCGTCAAATCTCTGGAATTTCTCAAATCCAACTAATTTGCATACTATCGTGTCGGGGAAGTCACGCTCTTTCGAATGAGCCTAAGCATAGGCTCGTATAGTGCTTGCTGGCCGAGCTACATGCTTGCAAAGCGGTGCAACTTAAAGGCAGTGTCCGGGCAGAAACTCGACTTCTAAAAAATCAACTTATCTGGGGTTATCCGCAACGCTGAACCCGAAAATCCACATCAGAAGGCGCGAAAACGGCGACAACATGCATTTTCCAAGTCCTCACATTTCGAAATTTGGGGATCCCCGCCAGGCTAAGACGCAGAGGTTGCAAAGAGCGCACGGTTTTTAACTGTGGCGGCATACGTACTCTGCCGTCTGG